CGATTCAAATGTCCCCTTTGTTTCAAATCATTTGCAAGAAAATACACCTTGAATGGCCACTTTCGAGCTCACACTGATGAGCTTCCCCATTCTTGTTTGAAATGTGGTGAACGATTTACCGGAGAAGAGGCCAAACAATCGAAAAGCGATGCAAACGACGTCGATTCGAATGTTTTCTCTGCGGATTCACATGTTTCGATAAAGGCAATCTCAAAAGCCACATGCAAGCAAAACACACCGGCGAAAAGCAATTTAAATGTGGAATATGCGGAAAGAGATTCATCCATAATGGTCATCTCAACCGGAATTTAGCCACTCATCGCCATCAGTTCTCATTCAATGTCAATGATGCGTCAAATGTCGCCGAAGGTTCACAAATACAGAAGATAAATCAGTGCATGAGAAAACTTGCGGCCATCGTCAGTATCAATGTAACATATGTGCGAATTTTCCACGCCGCACAAAATGAATATACGAGATCACATGCGAGTCCATCACACAGGAGAAAAGCCGTTCCATTGTAAATGGTGCAAAGCACGTTTTTCCCAAAAGGGTAATGCCAACCACCATATGAAAAGAAAATGAAATGTCATCGTAAAGAAAAATGAAGAGATTTCGCACTCTGCTACGCTATCTTCATCTAATATCCATCACTCATTGCTCACCCGAATCGAAACAATGTAATGAGCGGGAAACAACAACAAAAACACCGAACGGTTGGCTTCATTTCGTGGTCGATTTTTATTAAAATATTCAGAAAAACAACGAAAATAATTGAAAATCAATGTAATCTTCCGATTTTGATCATGTTAAAACAACAAATGAATTGAATAAAAGTTTTAATTGGAAACAATTGTTAAGCACAATCCATGTTTATGTCAATGTTAAATCAACTCCGAAGCAAATAAAAGAGAACTTTTGTTTTTCATCCAATGTGATTCTTTGTTTGAGACATGATTCTATTCTAGCATCCAACCAAAACTTGAATATGATCATCTGATGAAATTCAAAGGCCATCGTACCACAAACTGATTCAATTTCCAGCAAAGGATCGAGAAATCATAGGATAAGCGATTGACCATCGAAACAATCTGCGCATTTCAACGATAGCCCATGCTTTATTATGCATGGGATATTATTATATTACTACAACACACGGGAACGTAATCAAAGGTCTCCTTTCAAGATGCTCGAGTCCCTTGGAGTAAGATTATGTTGGATCGGTTTTTTCTTTAGAATCTTCTGAATACCCTTTAAAGAGTTTGTAATAACTATCTGAATAATGCAAAAAACTGTGCTTCTGTTCTCGTACTTACATCGGGATAGCTGGAATCAAATCAATGTGAAGGTAATCAAGGCCAAAGTTAACAAAAATTACATTTGAATTACATTCTGAATCTTTATTGAATCAGCAGAGCAAAAATGAATGTTACAATAAATTCGAAAATAATTCTGATGTCGAAACTGATGAGTCTCTGGTAGAGTCATTTCCGCTTGATTTAAAACAAGATAAAACGTGTTGGTGTTCAATTTTAAGTGAAGAGTAGAAAATCGTTGGTTTACAATTTTATTTATTGAAGATTTCTATTGAATTGTGTTGTGAGAATTGTGCTGAAAGACGCAACTGAAATCTTATCAACAGATGTAGTAGTAAATGAAGTGTAGAAATTCAAATGAATGACAATGAAGACTTAATTCAAATTAATTAGAACTATTGTTATTGTCCGTAGCTTTACTTTTTGGATTGATGCATTCGTTTCATGTGCGATTCGGCTTCGTCCTTTCGAATGAAACACTTGTCACACCACTTGCAATGGAACGACTTTTCACCTGTATGATGGACATCGCATGTGAATTCGGAAATTGGTCGTATTCAGCGATGAAAATTCGCACATGTAGCATTGATACTGACGACGGCGACAGATTTTTTCATGCGCTGTTTTATCCTCTGATTTTGTGAATCCTCGTGGACATTTGACGCATCGAAATGGGAACTGATCGCGATGGGTGGATAAATGTTGGTTGAGATGACCTTTGCGGATGAATTTATTTCCACATATTCCACATTGGAATTGATGTTCACCAGTATGTTTTGCTTGCATGTGTCTTTTGTGATCAGCTTTACCGAAACATTTGTATTCGCAGAGATAGCATTCGAATCGACGTTGTTTGCATTGCTTTTCGTGCGGTTGTTTGGCCTCTTCTCTGGCAAAACGTTGACCACATTTCAAACAAGAATGGGGAAGCTCATCAGGGTGAGTTCGCAAGTGAGCATTCAAAGTGTTTTTATGTGCAAATGATTTGAAACAAACATCGCATGTGTAAGGCTTCTCGCCGGTGTGAATACGAATGTGTTTGATGAGATTACATTTGTGCGCTGCAACATGACCACACACATGACACTTGTGCTTCTTTCGTTTCTTCGCCGCCTTATTCCGCGGAATCTTCCGTTTGTCTTGCTTTCTGGTTCCATCGCAATTCTTTCCTTCACGACTTGAACCTAGTCCTTTTCGATTAAAGTTTGACTCGACTACTGGCTCACCACCTTAACCTGCACGGGCGTTTGGTTTTTTTCCCGTCCGATCTCGAATTTGCCGAAGAATATTTATCATTTTCTGATTTCTCTTCTTGGCACTTCACTTCCTCTTTCACACCATCCATATAACAGTCGAGAACAGAATCATATTCAGGCTCGCCCGTCAATTCGATGTTTGATGTCGCTGTCACTGCTTGAAGTCTTCCTTTCGATCGTGTCACCAAACAATCTTCAATGCCATCCGATGGTTCTATCTTGATGTCTGGCTCTTGTTTTATTTCGACTGCAGCACTGCTCATTTTGCGTCGTACACGACCATCCGAAGTACCTTCACCCGGATCCATATCCATAACCGATGTCGGTCTGTCGAACAATCGAAAAAAAAATTGAAGAAATTTCTTAAATGAAGCAGACAGTTGGGACGTGTTTTGTGCAGGGTATTTTGCTGATGCAATTACAGTAAAACACATCAGCATTTGAAGTGATTATTGGCAGTCTGCGAAAATGTGTTGATGAGTCAAATGTGAAGGTCCATTGAAAATTATCAAGTCATATGAAAAACGAAACTCAGAATGAAATCTCACAACTCTCGTCACGCCAAACAAAAGTTGTTGACTAAATGTCAAGCAAAATGGTCGCTGTGTTGTTCTTTCAAGGAACGTCGTCAAAGATACGAGGAAAAATATGGAAAATAGCAAATTGAGAACAAACGAATATTTCCAATCAAAATGAAACTTAACATAATCAATGTTGCAATATCTTCGAATTTCAAAATCACCACTGAGAATGTACGTTTATCGCAAAACAAAGAAGGAGCTTTAATTTTATGAGATAATTGAATGCACCATTCAAGTCGTGTCGTGCCGAAAACAACGAAATGCACCAGATTTTCGGATATGCACAAAAATAAATCGCTCTCTAATAAAAACCAATCGATGAATATTCGATTGAAGAATTTCGTTTTTCTCCTTGAAACAGAATAATAAATTTAAAATGGAAAACACATATTTCGAGCACTTACTTTTGGTTTATTTGTTCGTCAATGTAAATGAATACGCGCTTTTTTGTGTGTTTCTCCTTTGAATGGCCGACACAAAGTGGTTGAGTAGCATTGAGTGCTGCGTACGTCGGTTGAGTGTGGCCAGTGGCGTGATCGAATGCTGTTTGTGTGTTGGTGTGCCTGTGTTGCTTACTACAATATGTGCAGGTGACAGCTTGCAACTCAATTCCATTGGAATGAAGCAAATTCTGAATGTTCAGCTGTCATTCGAACTGGAATTCATGTTTGCGATTCGCATTTCCAAACACTTTAGTGAATTACTCATTCTAGTCAACAGTGTTTCGATTAAAAGTTATGTGGATTTTTATAAAAGAAAAAATTCGAAATCATTATGTTAGATGTGAAGGGTATTTGAAGAATTGGTTCATGAATCAGGAGCATGAAATGAGAAACAACTTCATGCTAATGCCAATGTTGAACATTCAACTAACACACCCAACGAAATATCGCACCACACTCAGTCTATGTTCACCGCTCAGCTTTGACATTTGATGCTGCACAATAGCAACGACAACCTTTTTTTGGCTATTATTTTCCTGACAAATTGGCCAGCAGACATTTTCGTTCTTTTTTTGCACGGACACACGGTATTTGTAAGTACTAAAATATTCGAAATTGCAATTGCATTAATTGAAAAACGAAAGGACTGTGAATGATCGTTTCTATTTACAAATCGAGTGTAATTTCCTGACGAATGAAGAAAAGTCACTTGAATTGTAGATTCTATCCGTGCAATCGCAATTGCTCAAGTGTCGTATGAGTTGCTACTTGCCAAACGATTGCAAACATGTCAACAAAAGATATTTTTCTGTTTCGAGAGCATTCTCAATGAAAATGTTTCTGATCTGTCAAATCTCATTTTCCCTTCGTTTGTTTTGTCAAATTTGCATCGGTTATGGATATGGATCCGGGTGAAGGTACTTCGGATGGTCGTGTACGACGCAATCCGGGCAGTTTTGCAGTTAAAATAAAGCAAGAGCCAGACATCAAGGAAGAATCATCGGATGAACTTGAAGATTGTTCAGTGACACTTTCGAATGAAAGATTTGAAGTGGATGCAGTGACTGCGACCTCAAACATCGATCTGGTGACTGAGTCCGAGTACGATTTCATTCTCGACTTTGATTCGGATGACGTGAAAGACGAAGTGAAGTGTGAAGAAGAGAAGGCAAAGAAGGAAAAATATTCTACAAATTCGGTTCCGAATGAAAGTAAACCGAATGCTCATGGTGGTCAAGACGATGAGCCAATGGTCGAATCAAACATCAATCGCGAAAGGCCCAAATCGAGTGACAACAGAAAAAAACGCGATGGATCAAGAAAGCAAAACAAACGAACGATTCCGCGAAATAAGGCGGCGAAGAAACGAGGAGAGCACAAGTGTCATGTGTGTGGTTATGCTGCAGCGCACAATTGCCATTTCACCAGACACATTCGTATTCACACCGGCGAGAAGCCTTACACATGCGATGTTTGTTTCAAATGTTTCACACATAAAAGTCATTTGAATGAACATAAGAAAATCCACAGCGGAGAAAAGTCATTCGAATGCTCCGTTTGTTCCAAATCATTTGCACAGAAAAACACTTTGAATGCTCACTTGCGAACTCACCCTGATGAGCTTCCCTATTCTTGTTTGAAATGTGGTCAACGATTTGCCAGAGAAGAGTGCAAAGAAACGCATGAAAAGTGCTGCAAACGACGTCGATTCGAATGCTATCTCTGCGAATACAAATGTTTCGGTAAAGGTGATCAGAAAAGACATATGCAAGCAAAACACACCGGTGAAAAGCAATTTCAATGTGAAATATGCGGAAATAAATTCATCCAGAGAGGGGATCTCAATCAACATTTGGCCACCCATCGCAATCAGTTCTCATTCGGATGCGTCAATTGTCTGCGAGGATTTACAAAATTAGAGGATAAAACAGCGCATGTGAAGATCTGCGGCCGTCGTCAGTATCAATGCTACATGTGCGAATTTTCATCGCCGAATACGACCAATTTCCGATATCACATGCGAGTTCATCATACAGGAGAAAAGCCGTTCCATTGCAAGTGGTGTGACAAGTGTTTCATACGAAAGGACGAAGCCGAATCGCACATGAAACGTATGCATCAATCCAAAAACTAAGGCTACGGACATAGCAATTGTTTTATTTAATTGGAAGTGACTCTTTATTTTATTTTCTTTGAATAATACATTTGGTTTTCTACTTAAGGTTTAGCTAAGTCAACAGAATTCTCACAACACAATCGAAAAGAAATCTGTTTAAATTCTATTCATTGAATTGTTTATCAACGATTCTCCAATTTTCACTAATTATTGATTTGTACCACTTCTTTATCTTATTTTGAATCAAGTTGAAGCGATTATACATACAATTTATTAATTTCGAAGCCACAATTATTCTCAGATTGGATTTTTGGATTTTCACTGCTGATTTAATAAAGGGTCAAAATGAAATTCAATTTTTTTTCGCTCTGACCTCTGGTCGACTTGTTATCGATTTTATTACAGCTCTACCAATGAAAGTACAACAATGGGAGCACTGTTTCTTGCTTGACACGTTTCTTTATTCAGACATTTATTCCAAATTCTTTTTTCTTCACAAGTCTACTCTTTAACCTTGTAAAAAGAAAAACCAAGGGAAAAACTTGATAAATTTCTCATAACTTTAGATGACTCTTCGAGAGACTCGGGCATCTTAAAAAATGTCTTTGATTATTCAAATTATGGGCAGGAGTTACATTTGCGGACGTTGTTACGGAATATCACTTTTATAACAAAGGATCTTATCAAAGGATACTATCTTTGTAACGTGTAGATCGTTCCTATCATCAATTGCCTCCTTCACAAATTCAAGTTTTGGTTGGATGCCAGAAAAGAATAATTCCTCAAATAAAAAACCATATTAGCTGAAAAACGGAAGTTCCGTTCATTTCAGAGTTGATTTTATTGTTTGTACGATTGTTCCCAATTCGAAATGGTATTTAATTCAATATTTCTCCTTAACATGATCAAAATTTGAAGATTTCATTAATTTCGTTGTATTTCAATCAAAGTTAGAATCGACCACGAAATGAAGCCAATCGTTTGGTGTTCATTTTTGTTTTCCGCATGTTACATTGTTTCGATTCGATCAAATGATGGATATGAGATGAAGATACCGCAACAGAGGGCGAAAATATCCTTATTTTGCCATACGATGACATCTTTTCATGTGTTTTTTGGCATTACCTTTGTGGGAAAACCGTGCTTTGCACCACTTGCAATGGAATGGCTTTTCACCCGTGTGATGAACTCGCATGTGATTTCGTAGGTTGGTCATATTCAGCGATGAATATTCGTACATGTAGCATTGATACTGACGATGGCGGCAAATCTTCTCGTGCACTGTTTTATCATCTCCATTTAGGAATCCTCGGCGAAATTTGGTGCATCGGAATGGGAACTTGTCACCATGAGTGGCTAAATGTTGGTTGAGATGACCTTTTTCGATTAATCTCTTTCCGCATATTCCACATTTAAATTGCTTTTCGCCGGTGTGTTTTGCTTGCATGTGGCTTTTGAGATTGCCCTTACCGAAACATGTGAATCCGCAGAGATAACATTCGAATCGACGTCGTTTGCATCGCTTTTCGTGCGAATGTTTGGCCTCTTCTCCGGTAAATCGTTGACCACATTTCAAACAAGAATGGGGAAGCTCATCAGTGTGAGCTCGGAAGTGGCCATTCAAGGTGTATTTTCTTGCAAATGATTTGAAACCAAAGGAAAATTTGAATCGCTTTTCTCCGCTGTGGATTTTCGTATGTTCATTTAAATTACTTTTTCGTATAAAACTTTTCGAGCGATCATCGCATATGTAAGGCTTCTCGAATGTGTGCAGTTAGATTACATTTATACGAAGTAACATAACCACACACATGACACTTGTGCTCCTTTCGTTTCTTCCCCGCCTTATTCCGCGGAATCTTCCGTTTGTCTTGCTTTCTGGTTCCATCGCAATTCTTTCCTTCACGACTTGAACCTAGTCCTTTTCGATTAAAGTTTGATTCGACTACTGGCTCACCACCTTGACCTGCACGGGCGTTTGGTTTTTTTCCGTCTGATCTCGAATTTGCCGAAGAATATTTATCGTTTTCTGATTTCTCTTCTTGGCACTTCACTTCCTCTTTCACACCATCCATATAACAGTCGAGAACAGAATCATATTCAGGCTCGCCCGTCAATTCGATGTTTGATGTCGCTGTCACTGCTTGAAGTCTTCCTTTTGATCGTGTCACCAAACAATCTTCAATGCCATCCGATGGTTCTATCTTGATGTCGGTATCCGGACAAAATTCCCAAAAAAAATTCCCGAAACGAAATTCCCGAAAAAAAAATCCCGAAGACCAACCAATGATGGCGGCCGGGGCATAAACAACGCTACGGCTTCGCATCGCCGTCGCCAACTGGTGCTAGCACCTGTACTACACATAGGCACGACATGAGCGAACAGCACTGATGTACTGCTTACAGCGCCGAGTACTCCCGCAGTGGTGAGAAACTAAAACACACCAATCACCAATATTGATGTTCATGATCATCAAATTGTTCATACTAAATTTTATCCATTTTAGGCACTCATAACTGCTCCAGCCTCTCTGATCGTCTGTACAAATAGATAGGAAACGTCAAACAAGAACAATAAAGCGGCACCTGGAGACTGGTTGGAGAAATAGAAAATCGTGCACATAGTTTGCTGTAACAAGTATGCGTCTGTGTTAGTTCAAACGTTGAAAGTATGATACATTGCACTTAGTCCCCAGGTGCCGCTGTATTGTTTACTATTTTCATGATCAGAAAGGCTGAACTGCTCATAACTGCTCATAAAAATAAAATTCTTGATTATTAGAATCACATATCAATTTTACATGCTTACTAAAAATCAAATCGGGAAAATTAAAAATAAATTCGGCAATTCG